AACAAGGTCTTGCCAACCAATGAGTCACGTGACCATTTGATTACGTCACAGCGAACTTCCTAATAATAATTTAAAAATTACAATGAAAAATGTTCCAGCTTAAAAGTGTTAGTTATTATTGTGTGTTAGTTTTAGAAATATACGTAGGTCTAAGTAACATGAAATAATTGTGTAGGAGATTGGTCCTTAGAAGCATATACTTCATTCACATAGATGACATGTTCCTCTCACTTTTTCAGCAATGGAGAAACATCCCCATAACATTGAAACAACACTAGCACTTTTATTTCTCAGTTCATTTACTAATATAATCAGTAATCACTTATAGCAGTTGTGTATTTTTTTAAGAAAGAATAACCTTCATGTCTCAGTTAAAGAAACTGTCCCCTCACATTTGAAACAAAATTACACCACTGCTTAGAAGCTATCTTGTTTTAAAAACTAGTGTACATATTTCAGACTTAAACATGCTGCTCATGTACTGGGAAAATTCATTAAAGAGAAAATTAGCAATTGTGTCATCAACATAACACTTTTAGTGTTTAAAACCAACAGGACATTTGTTCAAACTATTGTTTTTCATAATAACTTAAAAACAAATTAGATATAGTGCTAATACATTAACTTCATCATAAATTACAGCCACCACTGATTATAAAATGATTGTTATAGAATCATTGCTTTTAACCAGAATATGCTGAGGACACGCACACACACCCATGAGCATACACAAAGTAACTTACTTGAGCTTAAAAATACAGACTGACCAGACAAACACACACGTACATACGAACATGTACAAAATAACTTACTTGACATTAAAAACAGACTGAACAAGAAACACGCCAATGAACATGTACAAAGTAACTTGCTTGACATTAAAAACAAACTGAACAAGAAACACACTCATGAACATGTACAAAGTAACTTACTTGACATTAAAAACAGACTGAACAAGAGACACACCTATGAATGTGTACAAAGTAAGTAACTTGAAGTTAAAAACAGACTGAGCAGACACACACATGTAGTCACTCATTTAAAATGAAAAAGACTGCACAGGACACATGTATGAGCCTGTTTAAGGTTTGTCATAAGAAGTCTAAAATAAACTGAGTAAAACAGACACACGCATGGTAGATTACTTGTACAAAGTAAATAAAATAGAACAAATACATAAAGACACTTAAAACAGGATACACAAACAACAGGATCTGTGCGATGCACTAACTTAAATCCAAAATAGTTGAAACAGGGAAAACACATTGAAAACTTTATAAAGTTCATAATTTAAAACAAAATATATATATATATATACAACACAACTAACAAGACATTGAGATTTAAAGTAATTATGTAACTCTGAATTTTTTACATAATTTATCTGATGGTATAATCAGGAGTCAGAATTTCTAGAAGCTGTAAAATCTAGGTTATTGTTACCAGATTTATACCTTTTGACTTTATTATAACTTGTATTTTAAAGTCTAAAAATGTGTATGTTACTATTTCATAAAAAAATAAGAGTGTTAAATTTTTGTTGATGGTCGAATTTCATTGTGATTAACATCATCTTAAATGTTACTATGTTAAGCTGATTTTAATTCAGGTAACATTACATAATATTAAAGTTTGTAACGTTGGCATAATTTTTATTTATTTATTTTTTCTCCATAATAACTGTAATCATCAATTCCTAGTGCATAATTTTAAATTGTTTGCCATGTAATTTTTTATTTTTTTGTTTGCATAAAAGTTGGAGCCGTGAACTATGCATAATAACCTGTTGAAAATTACTTGCATAAGACAAATGTTATGTGATAACTACTTTAGGGCTTGTACAAGATTAGCTATATTTAGTCATATCAGAGTGTATTTGACAAATACTTTTGATTATACACACATATCATGGACTGATCTTCACTAAACACAGTAGAAATAAGTAAGCACTTGAGTATGTTACACAGTTTGTAGATTATTGCACACTTACCTTCGTTTTGTTATGAATTAACCTATTTTGTTTAGAACTGAGCCTGGCTTTGTGTTGAATTGCTGACAAAAGTATAAATGTTCCTACTCTTATAGAACAAGAAAGAAATGTAAGAGTGATGGAGAAGAATCATCAAACTGAACTGGATAAGGAAAAGAAGAAATATCAAGATCTTTTAACTGAATTAAATAAAAAAGAGGTATAGAGCTGAGTGTTAAATTTTAAAATTATTATAAGGTAGCATTTTGAGAACTTGATATTCTGGTCAGTACTGTTGGATGTATTCCAAGGTTTTGTTGTAATATTTTTCGTATGAGTAGACAACCACCTGGTGGTAGATTCTACAGTAAAGGACTGCTGGTTTGGACAAATCAATCAGAGTTGTATTTATTAAAATACTCAAAAAATGTGAAAGTTATAGAAGTATACGGATCACAAACTTGACGAAGTATATGTGGCAGTTAAAGTGATGGGATTGTGGTTATGGTCAACAAAATAAGATATTGATTAATAACTATTGATTTTTATATACTATGGCTAATTATCCAGGTTAAAAGTATTACCTTTAATAAAGATATTAGTATATCAAAAGAATCTGTATAGGTGATTACAAACAATATGGATCACAGTAGATTGATATACGGTATCTAAATACAATAAGTATAAACACTTTAAAACAATGTTGGTAATTATTCCCTAAAGTATACAGAAAAGGTGATCTTAATTCAAGTACATGCACAACTGCAAACTGGAAATTTGCTGCTCATGTATTGGGAAAATTTATTAAAAACAAAATTAACATAGCATTTTTAGTGCATAAAACCAACAGGACATTTTTCAAACTATTGTTTTTTGAAGACAACTCAAAAATAAATTAGATATAGTGCTAATATACTAACTTCATCATAAAATACAGCAACTGATTATAAAATGCAATTGTTAATTTACAAAAGACATCAACTTAGAAAACACAAGCTTATATAAATCAAACCATTTGTTATATATGTAAGAAGAAAAGGCTAAATAATTTGAGAAATCAAGTTTTTAAAATATTTGTGTAAAATGATTTAACATTTAAACTGGCTGTATATGCACATCACTAAATTTTAATTTTGCACTGAGTTTAAAAACCCAAAACTGTCCTGAACTATAAATTCATTACTTGTATAAGTTTGAAAGTTTATAAAAGAAATATCATAAGGTGTTATTTTCATTGCCAATATTTGACAGTATTGGATTTTAAAGGACAATCTTGTTAACAAATTTTTTGACATACAGCTGTACCGTACATAGCTGAAGCATAAGAACCAGTTGGTGTTGGTGTAATTTTCTAATAAACAAATTCTCAAATGATTTTCTTTCTTCTTTGAATATAGTGTAATTTGCTTTTATTGTGAGTATTGGATCTTTATTTAACAAATTGTCTTATTTCCTGTATCTGGTTCTGTTATCTCTAATTTTGTGATTTTACTGAGATCAACTAGGACTTTTTAATTCTTTATGAATTAAATTGTTTTTAAAGCTGTAATTAAGAAAATAAGATAAAGTAAGGCTACTAATATGAGGTTCTCTACCTAAAAGGTTTATTTCTTTTATTCTGTGTTGTGACATAACTGTGTTACCTATTGTATCACTTAAGTTTTTGAAATGAATGGATTTCAGCCTGTACTGTAGAAATAATGTTATGCAAAGTATTCAGATAATTAGTTAAGAGACTTAGATGATTTGTATTTACAACTTGTCTCTCAAATACTGTATCTTTATTATTTTTTTATATGTATATGATTAGAATTCTAAATGACAAAACTTTAACATTAAAAAAGATGGAATTGAATTATAAACAAAGTCATTAAAATGAAATTATTTAAAAACTTCCCACTTAAAAAATATAACATTATGATCTAATGTTTCAGCAGCTAGTGGACATTGTTTACAGTGGTCTAACTCCTGTAGGTCAGTATGAGTATTCAGCAGTTTATTGGCTTGTGTTTAATTACAATCGAAGATACACACACACACACACACTTAGTTGATTGGTTAAAAATGCTAATAGTGTCATGTTAAAAAAACAGAACAGTTTGTTATTGAGATATGGGACTTTGAGGTTTCTGAAAATTATGAAATGGTTTCTTTCAGCGTAGTAGTTTGTGTAATCTTTAGATGCAGTGCATATTCAGTTACTCTTTGTCATGTAGTTACCATTCTGTACCTTTTTAACGATTACACAAGTTAACCAAATATTGAAATTTTATCTTGAAAGCTACTGGTTTTGCATATGAATGTGTTGTTTATAGACAACTCCATGTAGTAGCCACAAAGTCACTTGTATCAGCCACATATCTAATTATGAAACATCTAGGAAGCGTAGGTGTTATATATATATATATATAGTTACCAAGATGAAATTAATGTATGTTAAAGATATTTTAAAACAAAAGGACTATTCTCAGGCATTCAAAAACATGCAATATTTACCCAAATCATCAAAATCTTCAATAGATTAGATTACTCTTCTTTATATCTAAGAAATATGCCAGGAGCTTATTGGAATTTTTGCTTTTGCTGATATTCAAATTTTTTAAAAATCTTAATTTCATCTATTAACCAGGTAAATAAAATCCTTAGAAAAGGCTGGCATGGTTTGCCAAATTAATTGTAATGATTGTGATATTAAATATATTGGGGAAAGTTAACACTTATGTAAGGTAAGAATTGGAGAATATAAAAGTAACAGAATCCACTCTAGCTGAACCTGTGTCATTAAGAGATCATTACATTAACTGAGAAGATTGAAAAGTATTAGACATTAAATAACATTTTGGTAAGAAGGGGCTTTTTTAGAAGGGTGGCATATTGCCTTATTTAGGTCCATGAGTGTCAGACTCTTTGACAGTGACTTTCATTAGTATTTGAAACATTAGGACAGTCAATCTATTTTTTAAATTGATGTATTTTTAAAGAAATTTCATTTTAAGATATAACAGATGAAATCATTTGAAAGAAGTTGCATAGTTCCAAAAATCCTAAGCAAAGAAAATTCTCATATGTGTATATAAATAGAATTTTTGTTTTTCTAAAATATTTCTAAATGTCCTGTATTACTCCCTATAATTCAGCTAAGTTACTTGTTCTTCTTTTGACCTTCTCAATTTTTACACAAGTCCACAGAGCCTCAAGAGTGTTCATATCAGGACCTTGTAACAGCCAAGCCTGGTTACAAGTGTTCATTCACCCTTTTTTAACCATCAAGATATCATTTCACCACATTTACTGTGTCAGTGTTCAAAATAAGGACAATTTCTGGTTGCCTAGACAAATTTCAATTAATATGTGCCACAATTAATCAAGAATACTTAAGTTTTAATAAATATTAATGTATTGTTGTCACTATTTTTACATATAATGAAATAAACAATTCTAGGGTGTTTGTTGGTCATTCATGATGCAGTGTGTTCTGCTGCAACTTTTTATTGATATTGAGCAAGGCAGAAGTTTTGGCAAAGATGCAATGCTATTGGTTGATAAAATTAAAGAGACAACATACACTGGTAGGTGGGTGCACTTAAAACATTATTGTAGTACATAAACTTCTATTCAACATTCAGGCTTTTATTTGTAGTTATAGCTTTATATGTACTATAGAAATTTGCTGAAGATGGAATCTGTTTATTTCGAGGAATTTATTAAATATATCGTTATTCGTCACTTCTGTCATTGTGTTGTTCATCATTATTGGTTTTAGTTTCTTGTGAGACCATCCATGCATCATTTAAAGCAGCATATAAAGGAGCCCCAGAAACCTAGTGCTGTAATTCTTCAAATATTTATGGACATCTAGATGAGGAACGTGATTGAACTGGTGATGTTATAATATGTAGTTCCAACAATATACAAGTTGCAAGAGACAATGATGATTAAGTAACTAAAACCAATACTGAAAACTAATTCATCAGTAATAGAAATTGTTCATCATTGCAACAAAAAAAAGTAAACAGGCATGGAGACTCACAATGGACACAGAAGTTGTGATACAAAAATTAGGATTGATTTATCTTTCAAAAATAGGTTGCCTGTTATTTCAAATGCTTTGTATGTTTAAGACTGTTGTTTTGACCTAATGGGTCATGTTCTGAGGGAATGGCGTGATGAATCAGATTGTCTATGAACTTGTTAGCTGTCACGATGCTATCAGTTTTCTGTATATCATCAACATTGTTGAGTGAGATGCAACCCCCTAACTTCTACTGTAAATGTTGCACATTGACTGTTTCTTCTCCACTTTCATTGATTGTTTGCTGAACAGTTCAATCTTGGATTCATCTTTACAGATGCTTTACAAAGCTGAAGTTAATTTGCTGATTCTGATGTTTGTGTTCTGATGCCCATTTCAACCTTTTGAATTGGTTACTTCTCCTCAGGCCATTATGCACTGATGTGTATCATACTGTTCTTAAAATAATATTAATACCTGTATTTGCAGAAAATTCATTAAAAAACCTATACTTGACCATTGTCTATCTCATAAAGAACATATCTTGAGATATTTAACACCACTTTTAGAGTTTGTTTTTTACATCGAACAACTTCTGTTATTAACAGTACCAGTTTCACATGTCCTTTTCAGAGTCTTGTTTACAACTAATTGGTTAAAAGTTTCAGTAACAAAATCTTGTGAACTCAGTATAATTTATTGCATGTTTCATATAGTTTGGTAATAATATAAGCATAGTGGAATCTCCAGTTTTTGTATATTTTTTATTTCACATTTCTTCATGTAGACATTATGTAAACATATTTTTTGTAGTACAAGTACATGCATTTGTAGTACATAATTTATTCAAATCAGAGGTTGAGCCTGGCTTGCAAGTACATCATATCAGTTCCTTTCTGATATTGAGCAAAGTTTATCTGTTAAAGGTGCCTAAAGATAAAAACCACACAAAACGTTACAATAGCATTTGACAGAGAAAAACTAAGTAGGAACAAAAATGTCATCAACCCAGGTTGGCAATATTGTAGTAATTTTAGTTCAAGTACTTTAAGTGTTGTTATTTATATACTAGTTAATATTTCAGATATTTGTAGGTCTTTGTAAAACTCTGTGTGTGGGTCTGAGCAGAATTTAGTATATTCTTTTTGTACTTCTATACACCAGTAAAGTACACGTACACTATTTAATTTTCTTAAATATAATGTACAAATTTTCATTTTTCAGAATTTCTTCTTCAACTTTTTTGTTCTATGTTTCTTTATTGTTAAAGTTAGCATTGATCTCAGAATTATCCTCCATCTTGATAGTAGATTAGAGATTTATTATATCAGTTTTCCATTAGTCCTTTCATACAGAATGCTGTGTATTTATACCACATTCAAGCCCTTGTGGATAATAGCATTTGTTATTCATCTGATTTATCATTTTGATATTTGTTCCATTGCTACATTACATTAGTGTGGGAATTTTAAGAATATTTGAAATATTGAATATTGAAAATCAATAAATATTTATTACAATGTATTGTAGTGTATTCATTGAAAATAATTCTGCTTTTTGGTTGTTTATATTTATTATTCAAAACGTAAAGTATTTTTCCAGATATAGTACTTACTTTAGAGATTTAGTATATTCACTATATCAAATAAATAATGATCAACTTACTTTAACCAGGAATGCCTAAGTGAAACTTTAGAAGCTCTGCATGCTGCTTCACGTTTAAGTGAACAGTTGGATAAAAAGGAAGAGACAATTCAGTATTTAAAAGAAAAATGTAGGTACAATTTATTACCCAACAGCTAAAATATATTTATGTATGCATATATTGTATTTAATCATTTATGTTTGTTTATTGCAAAGAGCTGGTTGAAGTAGGAATAACTAATTTTCAGAATATTCTTAATTACATCGTTTATTTGTAACAAACTTAGCAAATATGATGAAAGAAATTTTTATTCTTAAAACAAATAAGATTTATGGGCATTACTTAATTTATATTTTGCTGTTATTTACACTTTGCAGATGTGCTGGAAGATAATGTTTTAACAAAACAACAGTTAATTCAATAGGCCTAAAATATGTTATTTTAAATTCAAAATTGGACATGTGTAAAATAGCATTTTATAACTAGTTGTTAAAAAGTCACTTACCCAAGCGGCATTTTATCCAATACCAGAATAGAATGGAAATGCTATATATATATATATGCATATATATATATATATCATTTCAAGGATTTTTGTCTCATTGTCTGAACCAACTAACAAATTCTGGTATTGAATAAAATGCCTCTTGGGCAGTGACTTTTTAAAAGGTAGATCTGAAATGTTATTTTTACTACACACACACACAGTCTAATACTTTAAAATTGACAGAGTAAATGCCAAAAGCTAGCAAAGAATGGAAAACCAATAAAGGAAATACATGTAATAAAAATCATATTAAATGCATGTGTTTTCTCCACATTCCACTTAATTATCTTTGTAAGGGCTTGATAATTTTGACCACCATTTAACCATGAAACTATGCATACTATAACTTTTAATATAGTAAGTGTACCTTTATGAAACTTGGCAAGATGATTTTAATGTTATGATTAAAAAATACTTTTTTCTGAAACACACTTACTTTGTCTCACACTATAGCTTTATCCCGATAAAAGTTTCTCTTCTCTGTCCATCTGAGCTCTGGTATGAATCTTACCTCGCTTGCTCCAGCCTTTGTACCCCATTATATTGCCCAAAGCAAGTTAAATCTTGTAATTCTCTCCACCTACGTCAATGCACCCCCCTATTCCAGATCTGGATATATGTTCTCCGTTATTACTTCCCATTCACTTTCATCGACAACTGAACATCACAATGATGGTTGTACATGCTTGTTGCAGATTTCACTTCAGTGTTGAATGGCTTTAGTTATACATATGCTGTTGACGATTCTTTTTTTTTTAGATCTGTCTTCTTTGGTTTGTAGCTTGTTGTCTATTTTTCTGTATTTTACAAAATAATGAAATTTGGAAGTAATAGTTTTTCAAAATGATATCCTTTATATTTTGTATTCTTTAATTTTTCAGGAACTCTTTCATCATTTTCAGTGGTATACTTCCTTCCAAATCTGTACTAGCTACCAGTAGACCTATAAAAAATTTCCTGGTAGCAATGAGCTGTGTTGAGATGGGGTGTTCCATAAGACCACCTTGTGCGCTTTCCGGGTGGTAAACAATTACAACACAAAGATAAATACACTACTGGAGAACAACTTATGGCCTATCATGAGTAAAGCTTAAGGGGATTTTGCCAATCTCTGCTGACCCCTAGGTTGAATAAATCAGAGTCAGATTGCTTTTCAAAATAGGGAACATGGTTTACCTATTGCATTGTCTCTGAAGCATCACTCCTTGGGACTCCCCAATGCAAGTATCCCCCAATTTCTCCAAATGAAGTGTGGGAGTCCTTACCACTCCCAGTTTCCAGTCAATCGAGTGGTGGACAGAGGTCTATTCCTCCGGAGTAATGTTTGAACTCATTATTCCACTGCAGAACGAGAGGTCTAAGCTGGGTGCCCTCCTTCCAGCAACCCTGGGTATTTTTCCCAGGTGTATAGTGGGAGCAGAACCAGCCTATGATTCAGAGATGACTCCGCTATTGGGTTGAGTGTGGCCCTTCTTTTTTGTTATTCCCTTCATTTTGATCATCGTGGAAGATGGTCCTCGACTCCTCGTAATTCTTCATGCAGAACGTCACTTTCCGTGTCATTGGTTTAATTTCATTCATTCAACATCCTCCTCGTAATTCTGAAGGCAGGAAGTGTTACTTTGCCTCACGGGTTGTGTAGTTAGGATTGTGGTTCATAATGTTGCGTCATCAAGGTCACGTGACTGGTGTGGGGCCCTCTATTTTCTAGAACTATCTTGTTCTTTCATGAATGCTCTAGTATTTACTAGGGTAGGCGGGTATATATAAGAGGGGACAACGTGACGCGAGGATAATGTAATGTGTGTGTAGATAGTGAGTAATTGATCTGCAGTCAGAAGTATTATTGAGCACGTTCGTTGTTATAGCGTTTGTTTAGCGCGATTGTTGAAGTTGAGTGTATCGGTAAAGTTGTATTCGGAAAGAATAAACCAGTTTTATTAAGTAAAGAATTTGTGTTGTTAAAATTTCGTCGGAACGAAGTTACAGAAAGTTAATTAACAAACGGAGACGTAACAATAATCCTAGGCCAGTAATCTCTGTTTCTTCTGGTAGAATGAGGCGTGAAAGGTCCCATAATTCCTAGTTAGGTTTGTTGCATTTTGTGCTTCTTCAGGCTGGGGGGAGGGTTTGTCCACTTTTGTGTTGTTTGCCTTCTCTTTGTAATTCTGATGGTTCGACGTGTAACATTCTGTAACTTTCAGGTTGGGTTCTAATGATACCATATTACTAAACAAAAAATCAACAGCAATCTTCTTACCCTAGCCACTACTCCTTGGATCTAGATTTGGGTCCACAGCCCTATAATTCCAGTGAGGAGATGTGGGACCTCGTCTGCCTGGTTATGGCCTGGACAAATATATGTTCTTCTAACAATGCTAGAATTTTGCCTCTGTGGCCAGTAGGCCTTTACCCAGTAAGCCCAAGAATTAGATTTCATGTTGTCCTGGCGAAGAGCATAACTGTTTCAGAAATAGTTCAGACCCTACTAGTGTGCTGTACGATATCTCAATTTGCACGTTTTCTTTTTGTGTGGATCTTGCCCTCACCAGCCTCTCCACCTTGTCAATGTGGGATTCTTGATATAATGTGAGAAGAGGTATGTGTGTTTCAAAAGTTAACATTTTCCTATACTGAAAATGTATTTCTGATAATACTTGCCTTCTTTCACACTCTTCTAATTGGACCGTTTCAAAAAGTGAATAGGAAGTAATTACAGGGAGCTTATGTACACATCTGGGATAGGGGGAGCATTGACATAGGTGGAGAGAATCACAATATTTAACTTGCTTTGGGCAAAACAGTGGGGTATAAAGGTTGGAGCAAGTGAGGTGAGATTCATACCAAGGCATAAATGGGCAGAGAGGAGAAATTTTCGTCAGGATAAAGCTATAGTATGAGCAGAGGTAAGTATTATCAGAAATACATTTTTGGTAGAAGAAAGTTTCATTTTACAGTTTTCAAATTTCACTTGGTTAATGAATATCAAAAGGTTTTTTTCAGTAAAACTTTATTTTCAGCTTTTAGTTTTTTTACTGTAACATTTTATGCAGTCTTGGACCACAAAAAAAAAAAAAAAAAGAGAGAGAAAGAAATCTAAATTACACTTTTTTCTTTCTAGAATGACTACTTATTATTACAGACAATTACACACTATTATTTATACAGCTAAAGCTAATACAACTCAGATCTCCTGGTCATTTAGATTTAACACTTTAGTGCCACTTAGATTAGTAAATTATTACACACAATAATACCAACACTCTTGTTCAAATTACAACATTTTGTGTGCGCAAAATGTGCTCATGTTATTAGGTTTTTAATTTTTTCATTTACTTTGTCTTATCTTGTACTTTTTTGCTCTCAAAGTCTTGATGAAAATTAACCCTATTTTTTTTTGTAGAGGTGTTAATACTTAATTTTTGATATATTTTAATTATGCAACTTAGAACACAAAATATTAATCTTCAACAACAACAAAAATCTGAAACTTATGGTTTAACTGGGTTTCTAACTAAGCTGTATGTGTATTAAAATAATTTCCTTACCTGGTCAAGGTGATAACAGTGAAACCAGACTATGGAATTGATGCAAAATAATTCAGAACCAATTGTGAGAATATGCCAACCTTATAAGGAAAGCAATAAATTAAAACCTCTTTTTAATAGCAAACGTCAAAGAGAATTATTCACATTTTTTAAAGACAGCATGTGCTGGGAGGGGCATGGCGTGTGAGTTTCAGCTTATGGCATATATTTAAGCTAGAAGAATAGATGCTATAAGTTTTTTTTTTTTTGCTCGGAGATATCTGACGTACAAGTATATTAGTCCTCAGAATCTTAAAAATAATATAGATGAACAGAAATTCACATGATACATAAAAGTGAAGATTGAGAATTTACTTGAATATTTTCTTTTTGAAATTAAGAAATTAACACATTAAAATTTTAATTATAAATTACATTTTAATGCTAAGTTTATTGACGTATATTGGTAGTAAAGTAGTTAATTAAATTTTGAATATAACTCTGTAAAAAGGTGGTGATATGCACACTATGACCAACCCATATCTAGGGGATTGATTTGTCCATTTCACGTTCAGACTCAGGGGTGTGTAAAAACAGCATTTCAAATCTGTCTTTTGTCTCCCACAATTAATGGGTTCAGGTATTGAATGAAAAATTTTGGGCACTGATTAATGGGAAACAATAAGTAGATATTAAATGCTATTTTTCACACCTCCAATTTTGAATCTGAAATGGACAAGTTAAGAGGAATGTGGAAAAAATATATATCTGAGTTTATATTATTTTTATAAAAAATTTTAGGCCTATTTGGTTCTGATACTTTGCCAGCTTTTGCCCTGTAAACTATAACTTTTAATAGTTGATTAGGTTAAATAAATTCGATTTTTGCTATTGTAATTTTTTGTTAAACAGACTTGCATTATTATAGTTAAATATAATAGCATTTTTTATACTTGTTTTTTGTGTAATTAAATTTTTTATGTACAAGTTACAGAGGAAAAAAATACATGCAGTTTGATCAATGCATTTTTGTTTTGTGAAACTACACATAAAAGATTACAATACTGCTGAGTAGATAATCTAGCAAAAGCTTTTAAGTATGCATCCTGGATATTTTGTTATAGCTACTTCAACTGAATTGTTGAAAATGATTTATAAAATATCTGTAATTTGACTTTTGAAAAATACATTTCAGAATATGCAAAAATATTTACCATCAGAAAAAATACAAATATTTGAAATTCATATACTGTGTTTTAGTGACATTGTATATCAAAATATGTGTGCTTGTCATCTTTAAGGTATGTGATTGTAAATGGAAGGGCATAACACTTATTATTTTTCAAGATTATTTGTATTTGCATGTTAAAGTAAGAACTGTAAATATATTTTTGCAGTGTCTAGACAAGAAGAATCACTAATCAAAACACAAGAACAGACTGCGCAGCTACAAGTAAACATGGAAGGAAAAGTGGATAAGTAAGTTATAAAAGAACAAATTCCATTATTATGAAAAACTTGAGATCTTAAAGGACTTTCATAATGTTTCAAACTTTTGTAGAAATTTCTTTGTTAACTTTTTTAGAAATATTTTTCTACCTTATTTAAGTGATTTTTTTTTATATTGATCAACAAGGTGCATGTTAAAATAATTAAGAAAGCTGAAATGTTTCTAAACATAACCTGCATTTACCTAAAAACCTCATAAAAGTATCAATGAAGCAGCGTATACAGTAATTTAAACACAGCACTATTCTTCTGAGTCTAAGTAATGCAAACAGTAAGCTGAAGGTTTGACGGCTTGTTAACCCTACTTTGCACGAATCAACCCTGTATTGGAGAATTAATATTCACTATAATTTTGAATTTGCTATGCGTATCTTCATGAAATTTTATAAGCTTTTAATAAACATTACAAGTACATTGTACACAAAATATCAGAATATTAAAAGTTTTTTTTTTCAGTTAAACTCTATACTTTATCAATTATTCTCTCTATCCTAACACTAACTGTAGCAAAATCATCTATGGAGAAAATTGAAGAATGTGAGATAAAATCAAAATTTTTTTTTTCATCTAGAAATATTGCAGATTTAACAAAAAATTACTGTTATTTATCTTGAAAGCTTTGGGCTCTTTCCACATCTTAATTGTTTTATTGCTCTTTGAATTGTGTGAAACTACCATTGATAGCAGCAGGGGTGCGGAGAGATTAAAAATTTCAGGTTACATCAAGTGGCACTTAACTGCATATGTTCCTTGTGTATTACTTTGGATGAAAATGTTTTTGTTTTGTTTTTTCATTTAAGTTTTTTCTAACCTAACAAATTTTTGATTTTTACAAATTAATTACTTTTTAAAATTTTTGAAAATATTTGTCAATAAATAAAGAATATAAATAAAACCTAAGGCCTTTTGCTTTCTAAATAAATTTTTCTAAGTTGCTCAAAAAATCGATCATGTAGCATTCAAATATACTGTTTAATATAAATAATTATTGAAACAGTAAAACATGATGCTCCCAACCTACTGTAATTTACCTGGCTTTCTAAGTGACCTATAAAAAGGTTTAAACAAATTTCATTACTTACCAGAGCACTGACTTTGGTCTTCACTCAATAAAATCTGCTTAGGAAATGGCATATTTTACCTAAATAAGTTAACGTAAAGATGTCATAATTATGTAATTCACAAAATAACCATAACATATACCATTGACAAAGAAGTGTGAGTAAATACATAATTTCAGAAGCATGAACAGTTGGGAGGAGCTTCAGTGATGGGTGTTACAAATTTATTGATATCTTAGAAGCTTATAAACTATCTCTGGCAACATTTTATGCTGCATACACAGTGATTGAAATGACATTGTCAAAAATGGCAGTTGTATTTTGAAGGCTATCTAAGTGCAATTAATGCATGATAAAGAAAGAATGCTTATAGTTGTAGTATTTGTTGATCAATACTACCATTATATGTACGATGGAAGTTCCTTGTTTGAGTGGAATATGCACCTTTGACAAGGGATTTGAACTGCAAAGTATGGACACCCCATTGTGTAGCTGTAGCTTTTGGCTTAACAACAAACAAACAATGTGGATGTGATTTTTTTAGTCCAATCCAGTATAGTAGGTTCCAGTAAAAATAGTTATCAGCAAACTGTTGTCAAGTTAATTGTAATCGTTGTTTTCAAAAAGCCAAGAGTAAACCAAATTGAAATGTGTACATATAAGCCTCTAAACGTTTTGTATGAATGTGTGCATTTACAAAATAAGTATTTTTTATTTTTAGACAAGTAATGAAGAACTTAGTTTTAGGATACTTCAACACACCACCATGTCAGCAACCAGAAGTGGTCAGACTTTTAGCGAGAATACTTGATTTTAACCAAGAAGAATTGAATAAAGTGAGCGAGTTTGCATTAGATTACTGTAAGATTCTTTAATATGTCTGTCAATCATGTATGTAAACTTTTGTTTGTAATTCTTAACTCTGAAGAACAATAACTAAATGTAAAGGAGTTGTCACATAAGTAGACCTAAAATATCAAGTACTTGGAAGTACAAGTATTAAGATGTGTGAAACTGCAACTCTGAACCTTTTGTCCTTTACTGGTGAAAAGTATAATTAATACAGGTTGTTCACTTTAAATAGAACCTTTTCTGTTTACTATTTGAAGCTCCATGCTGACAGTTTGGTGCATTTGATGAAAACTAAACAAGTCCCTTCCCATATGAAGTAACTCGAGAAGAGAAAAAATGTTGAAATATTAAAATTGTCAGTGTATTATTTGGTTGTTTCATTCATTTGAATATGCATTAATATAGTGGAACTTGTGTAGATATTTTATCCAGGATGTAGTTTAGTTAGAAGTAATAAGCCTTTAAAATAATTGTTTTAACACTTGCCACATGAACCAACCCAACAGAAAGGTTTGGGTTGGTTTGATTAGACAAAAAGATGATGTTTGGCACTATTTTTGACATCTAGGTCACTTGACCAGACTAGTGACTTGACCTGAGACCATGAGAGACAACATGGAGAAGTTAACTTGTAATGTAAAGTAAAACGATGTAGCAATGAAACATACTTGATGTGGTTCTAGATGTAGTTGTGAATGTGATAGTTTAAATGTAGTGATTAAGCTGAACGGTGGGTCCAGGTCAGATTAAGGAAGAACTTATTCAAAGTTATCTCAATCAATTTGACATACCAGCCAGATTGGAGATTTGTCAATTGATTACTGCATTGACAGCAAAACATAAAAAAACAGACACAATAATATAATTAACTTCAAAAAGAGGGATTGGAATCGTATTTAAAAAATCATTAGTTTCAATATTTTGTGAAACAAACAGCACAAAGGTGCAGTGTTGAAGTTGAAACATTACAAAATGATTTCTCTGGTGATTCTTAAATTAAAAATGCCATTTCTGCAGTGAAGAGTAAATATAAGTACAATGGGATAATGCCCAGTATGGTACCACCATGTAATCCATACAGATTTGATCATTCATATTTTCATTAATATTTAGTTGTTTTTTTTTGTTTTTTTTAGAAATTGTGCTGAGCTTCATTCATTTAGATCTGTCCAAAAGAACCCTAAATCACCAGTTTCTGGAATGTCTCCCCTGTTATCCATCCTAGGCTCAATACTAAAAGATGTTGGGCAAGATTGTGTGGCAGGTGTTAAATTCAAAGACGATATATAGAGTATCATTAAATAGCATGCATTATTGATTGTTTATGTCCCTATAGCACGTTGGATTTCTAATCCAAAGGGTTCGTTCCCCGGCAGGGATGCCACCACCATTGCCTGGTCCCAAGTCCAGGATGAGAAAGAAGGAAGGTTGGGCACGGGGCTAGCAACTCCGCCCCGTAAAAACCAACCTGCTTAAAATTACTGCAAAAACAACTTCCATCGGTGAGGTTTTGTTGGGGCCCTATGCTCCAGTGGGAGTCTACAGGGATTATTATTATTATTGATTGTTTAATAATTTCATAATAAGTTACTTTTTTGTGTCAGCACAGAGAAGGGCCTTAGTATTAAGAATATCAATATCCATGTCTTTTTGTTTTTCGTCTTTTTAAAACTGGATAATTGGTTGTATAAAGTAATCTGAGTCATGTACCCAATCAGGCAGGAATTGTATTAGGAAGAAATAAAAGCAGAACAGGAAAAAGCTCTGGGTGGTTTTCAAGTATTTTTGGGAAAGTGAATACTTCTACTCAGAGTCCATCAAGAGAGGTGATTGACAGTCCTTATGCTGACAAGGTAAAAATACTTTTAATTTCATCTATTGTGTTTCAAAGTACTAAAGACTAGGACAGAACTAAATAAATTATTTTATCCTCGTATTGATCAGTCTTAGTTCTCAAAAAATTAACCATTAAGTTTCAAAAATAGAAAGTTATATTTTTACTATTAATTGAAAAGAAGTTTTGAATTATTAAGTCATATTTACTAAAAGCAAGTTTATTTTCCATTTTTTTTGTAAATATCTATGTTTCAGAGTGATGTTTTCTTTTTAATAAATACTTCAGACTTGTTAAGAGCTAAATATAAATTATAACTTAAATGTTGTGTGGAAACGTTTTACTGTTACTAGTTTCTAAATGTTTTTATATATTAGGTGTTTGTTAATGTACTTAGGTAGTTGGGGGTATTAGTGACATTTTTTAGGTCAGTTGCATGATCTTTCATCAGGTCAATACAGTTTGATGTTGCCTGTAGTTATATAGGCTAGCATGCAGCTGTGAAAAGAGCTCCTATATGTGACTTGCTTTCTTTTATCAGGAAATCTCGTTATTTAATTGGTATGTTTCTAGATTAATGAAATACATCAATAACTTATTTAACATAGCTTCCTTTATTTTGGGGATCTCTGGGTTTTTCTTGATTGGTATTTCTGCAGTTTTCCAGTTTGTGACACTTCCAGTATGTTGCATGCTCTACAACATCAGAAACATGATTTTTTAGATGAAGAGCATCTAATTGTTCTTTAAATTATTACGTGAGTTTCTTATTATAATATATATATTTGTCTCCACAGCAGCTTGGTGTGTAGTAAATTAGTCATGTGGTTTTAATGCTATTTCATGTTTCACAGGAGTTAAAAAATTGTAGAGTGTTTAAATAAATATAAGTTGTTAAGTTGAACTAGAACATGAAAAGTTTTTCAAATATTTTGGACAGTACAGCTGAGCCTGAATGTAAATATGTTGCTGTTTAGGAAGTAGTTTAGCTGCTTTATTTTCTGACTTTGCTCCACAATTATTTTGGCACAGATGTCAGATTCTATGCTTTTAAATGTCACTAGCTCAGTCTTTGTACACTGTCTGGTGTGTGTGATTAAGATATCTTTGTCATAAAAATTCTTGTCCTGATATTCCATCAGCTTCTAGATCAACTTTATCACACATAAAGAAAGGGTGTTCTATAATTAGGTCACCTACTTGTAGCTGAACCTTATATTTTCCTAATACCTAAACGGGTAATGGAGGTTAAAATGCTATTACAGATTTTTCTACAAGCATTATCCAATAATTTTTGATAGCTTTTTATTAAACCTGTGTTTAATTCTCTTGCTATTGGCTCGGCCGATTCATCCAAGTTTGTGACCCTAAATTAACTTTTAGTTTCTCTAGTATAACTTCTAATATGTTTTGTGTATCTTCACAAAATTTTTGAAAGCTTTCAGTAATCATTAAGTCATTTGTAGACAAAGAAATCTGAATTGTTAATGAAGTATTTTCACTAAATTTTCATGAATATACGGAGTCAAAGTGTTGATTGCTCCAAGTGCAAAGTGGTCTTTTATCTGTTAAGATTAAAAATACGGTTCTTCATATGAAAAATCTCAAATTTCATTTGCATAATCTCTAAAATCCTCCTAAATATATTTAAACTTTTTCAGTAAAACTATATATTGTACTCGTTATTTTTTCTACCCTAACTCTATATGAGGTTGGTCAATTTGGGTCATAAACACCCAAAACAAATTTAAAATTTATCTAAGTTACCTTTTTTTTTTTAGAATGACTTCAAATTGTAACAAGAAACTGCATTTGTTTATCTTAAATAGCTTTAAATTTATAGCACTCTACATCTGTTTATACTTAAATTTTATTGTTCTATTGCCCTTTGAACCATGTCTGACTAATATTCTCATCACACAAGTTGTAAATCACTTGGTGAACATGTTACCCTATTAAATCACATAACACACTGGCTACATTGCTCTGCTCTACTTGTGAGCATAGCTCATGAAAAATTTTCTTCTTCTTATTATTTTTTATTTTACTTAATTTAACCTGGAAGTTTCTAATTTTTACATTTTAGTCACTTTTAATGAATAAAAAATACACACAAAAAACAAGAAATAAAGCACTTACCCGGGTCTTCTTTTTTATTGCTCTGTACTGTAGGTGAAACTTAAACCCTACTTTTCTAAAGTAATGGTACTACTACACTAAATAATTTTTTATTTAATTAAATAATGCACCAAAGAACACAGAATAATAACATGCAAAAAGCAGACAATGTTCCATAACTATCACAAGTTTTCTATTTTTCTAACTTTGTGACAAGAGCCATTAAAAATTCAGCTAATCTCATTGATGTTTTTGCCATGGGATTAAAGTTTGAACTGGAAGCGAAGTAGACATTTATCTGTACAGAAAACAACATAATATAATATGTCATTAAATAGATTAAAACCTTGGGCTTTCTGTTGGTTATAAATAATATAGTACTAAATGTCAAAGAGAACTATTGGCAATTTCTGAATCAGAGGATATTACAGATGGGCATGGCAAGAGGGATCTGATTTTCTATTGTATGGCTCTGTAACGAAATAAGATTGAAGGTTATAAAAATTGTACTTTGCCTGAATGATTAAAACATTATAATGAGTAATTTACATTAAATTTCAACTAACAGATCAAAAGTCTACTTCTTCAATTTCTAACCTAACTATAGATTTCATATCATTGGCAGGAAGTATTCTGTGATATTTTGTTTTACTGCTGGGGTGACTTCCTGCCTATGGACTTGACAAATGCTACAATTTTGGAATCTTCTCTCCCATTAGCAGGTGTTTGTATTGTGAGTTGAATATCTACTCACACTTCTGCCAGTGCATAGTCTTGCTTCTGTTAATATTTTTCGGAATTCTGCAGTTTGCTGAAATATGTCATAACATTCAGCAGTTGTAACATTTAGTTGCTTCTGCTTCTCATATCTCTGTTGGCATATGGCTTTTTGTATACATATGGGAGGTTTTCTGTTATCTGCAGGACCAGCAAACTGGCATTGCTTTAAGTAATTAAAACACTTTAGATGATTAATTTAATTTGAAACGGTTCTTTCTTGATAGAATGTATCTGATATAGCATTTGTTTATACACTTATTTACCCTGATCTCTTCCATATTCAAAACTTCTATTAAATCTACCATGGTCACTGTGGATTTGTTAGCTTCATTAATGTTTGAATGCATAAGGTTTCTAACTAATCTTTTAAGTTCGTTAGGATGATTATAAGCTATTCATAACCTACTTCCAAATGTATGCAGTTTATGAATAAAGACATGGACTGATCCTCCTCACTGTTACACTTGTATGTTGATCACCTGCTATACAGTATAAGCAACTGGAAATTGTTTGTAACCCATAGCTCATCATGGGCCCTAATGAGCCTTTTAGCTTAACCTGAAGTTCTTACTCTTAAGATATTTTGTTTTTGTGGATCTGACCAGTCTGATATTCCAATTGTTTCATCTCTTGCATCTACCAAAACATTCTATGTCTTCATCAATTCTGCCATGAAACATTGTAAAAATGCTTTTTCACCCTGTCTCTGTGCTTTGCCTAAAGAGAGTGCCTATATGTTTTGCACTCTTTGTATTTTATTATGAATAGGCCCTTCCTGCATGGGTGTGGGGGTTGTGGCAGTGTTCTAGTATGGGGTTTTGTGATTCATTCTAGACATTTCTAAGCTTTATATATATTTCTACTTCTAGCTTATATCTATTTCACCAATTTTTAGTTTACTTACAGCTATATTTGTATTTACTCTCTCATTGTTTTTTTGAAATACCTAAGGTTGTAGAACACCATTCCTTTAAGATAATGATTTTTTTTACCCTATTAGGTTAATAGTTATCCTTTTGATTGCGCCAATCTGTTACATGAACTACAAGAGAGTAGGAAATAAAGCTGTTTGATCTCACAAGGTTATGTACAAATAACGTACAATTATTGTGCTGTGACTCGCAAGTTGTCCAACACATAGGGGATTCTCATTCATCATGCATGGAACCCCTCAAACCAACACTGACATACACACCCTGTGAACTCTTGGTTAAGCGTGTTTGTTTGGTCTAATTGGCACCAGCAGTGACATATGTGTGATTTTACTCAGCCTTCTATAGTGCTAAATGTTTATCTCAACAGACTCCCACACTTATAGAAATTAATGATATACACTTAAATTCTTGGTTTTTATAGCTGTTTTACTGGTAACTCCATCCATGGCCAATTAGAGATGTGGTTGCACTTGGTAGTAACAATGAATGGCCATTTTTCTGCTGACATAATCATGACTAGTGATGTACAAAACCACTATTGAAAAGAAGTTATAGTGATGTTTTTTAAAAACTCCATCCCATGTTCCAGTTAATAACACAACTGCATGTGGTTAAACAAACATATTCCATGTTAACAACAACCTATTCGTAGCTGTAGTTAACTCATTCAATTTCATGTGATGTAAGTTAAGTAGCATGCAGTCATTCTTTCTTACAATGCCTAGTTTTTATAAGTTTTTCATAATTTAATATTCAACTTATTTCTTTTATTAATTTTAGTATTTTATTATTCATTTATTAATTTATCTAATTTAATGCTTGACTCATTTTATATTCCACCCTCAAAGTACATATATATTCTGATTATGTTTCTCCATATTTGCTATTTTCCTTAGATGCATGATGTTCTGCTTTTATAGCATATTTGATGGATTTAAATGTGAGATCAATGGCATCAATTTTGGAGGTAATATCTGAATGTCTTAAAAAGAAAAGCTGTTTCTTGAAATTTCAAATAAATCATATTTGCATGCAGTGCCTGTCATGTATATAGGATCGCATCAATACATTGCCTATCATGTATATAGGATCGCATCAATACATTGCCTATCATGTATATAGGATCGCATCAATACATTGCCTATCATGTATATAGGATCGCATCAATACATTGCCTATCATGTATATAGGATCGCATCAATACATTGCCTATCATGTATATAGGATCGCATCAATACATTGCCTATCATGTATATAGGATCGCAGCAATACATTGCCTATCATGTATGTAGGATCGCAGCAATACATTGCCTATCATGTATGTAGGATCGCATCAATACATTGCCTATCATGTATATAGGATCGCATCAATACATTGCCTATCATGTATATAGGATCGCAGCAATACATTGCCTGTCATGTATATAGGATTGCAGCACACTTTAAATGAATAATTTAAACATTTATATTAACCCATTAACTGCGGATGATGGATATTTCCGTCATTGAAGTTCTATGGCTCAGCTGCGATTAATGGAAATATCCGTCAGTCGCACCCATATAACTATAACTCTATGCGAATGATGATAATTACCGTTTTATTGTGATTGATGGCAACTCAGTTTTATCTGTGAGTCAGAAAATGGCAACTGAGCTGCTCCTGCAGCAGTTAATGGGTTAATGAATGAATTCAACAAGTAATGAATACCCACAAACTAAAAAATGTTATGTTTAATTATTGTTTCTAAACAACAAAGCTATTCTCACCTTTTATGCATTAACTGGTTACAAAACAACTTTACATCTTGTAGCCCACAGTAAAAAGTCAGCATGGAAAGTATTCCAGAGTCAGCATGATTTAATTAAATACTTATTAGGAAAGGGAGTTTGGATGGCAAAAAAGAAAGAAAAGCAGAAGAGTTTTTCTGCAAAATTTATGATCTGTCACAAAAAATTACAGTGCCGCTCGATAATCCACATTAAAAGACCTCACTTTCAACCAGTTGTATGGAGACATGAAGATTGTCTATATGCAGTTCTAACACCATGAGTTAAAAAGAATGTGAAATTGATCCTAAGACTTGGAAGTTTACTGTGTAATTAAGTTGCTTTGAGTCTATGTCATATGGTTGTCCCATAACATACAGAACTCAGAGCTGTAAGTGTAGAAAGGCAGGACTTGAGTGTATTGGTGCCTGGAAGAAGAGTGTATAAATATATTAAATAGTATAAAATAGTTTTTCTTTGAATGTGACAACAACCCAAAAACAAACATTGAGAAGACATCTTTTCCACAATCTGCATGGAGCCTTTAAAGACCAATCTTGGGTTAAACAAATATTATAAGAGAAGTCACAACTTGGAAAAAAAAATTTAACAGCATTCTAAGTATAATCTTTATTTTTGTCAATCAGTAAGTTTTTAAGATGTGTGTAGTGTTTTTAATTACATAATTATCTCATCTTCTGCTGTTTATTTAGTCCAAATGATTTGTTTTTTATGCAAAACCTCGCACATACTTCTAGTCTTGCTTATAACAGTTTCAGGTAGTTTTATTGTACAGTAGTTTTATTAGAGAACAGGGAAACTATACTAACACTATTCCACATATACAGAAAGGGAAATGTGCTTGTATCCTTTTTTTAGTGTGGCCAAAGACCAACAATAATATTAAAATATATGTTTGTGTTCTATCAAATTTTATTTACGTTAAAATTTCAAAACACTTACAAAGTTATAAGACAAATGAAATCATAAGTAGAGAACATCCATGTGAAAATGTTAATGGCAATAAAACAGTAATAGCAAGTTTTTAAAAAAATTCAATTAAAGAAGCTTTAAAACCTAAAATAAAGGCTGGTTCCATCATTTATCAAGTTATGCTAAAAGTCGTGTGATAAACTTTAAACATGCAATGATTTTTGAAGTCTACTTTTGTGATAAATTGATTAATATTCAGGAAACCATTGTTTTCATCTTCTATTTTCCACTGGGTTGTTTCAAAGATATCTTCAACTGGGAAATTGGTTAATGTTTTGATGTCAAAATTGCAAGTTGACCACTGGTTTGTACAGGCATATTTGTTAGTTCAGTTATGGAACTTTGTGTTTATCATACTGTGGAGAAGGGATAGAATTAACATTGTGATGGCATGATTACTGTATAACTCATTGAATATAGCATTCTTAGTGTTCTTTTAGTCATCATCCCATATGTCTGCCTGATTCTCTTGTGTATTTCTTTCCACACCTGCATGTTTCGGATATTACTACTTTGGTTTTAATTTATCTCTTGATTGTCTTATACGAGCTAAGAGATTATGGAACATTTACCTGGATCTGAATTGGGCTTGATGTTTTGAGCAAATATTTTGGGCCTGATGAAGGAGCATATAATTAACTAAAATGTCATTTATTTTCCCAACTACCTACGCAAGTTACTTGTGCAACATAAATATTCTTCCAATTTTAACTTGCCAATTATACCTATCAAACAGTCTTAGGTGTGCTATTTTTAACAATTTTTATGTCAGTCTCAGCATTGGGAATTTGACCTGCCAGAAGACAAATCATAACTGTTGACTGAATAAAACTGAAGAATATTAGAATAGGCATTGTATAACATCAGCAATCTATTTAAAGATTCGGTGGGTGAAGAACAAGGACCCATTAAACTCAATGCATTATATAAAATTAAGATATATCTATATATAGTATTTACAAGATATGTAAAAAGTAAGAAATTGTATACTTATGGCATAATAAATAATTTTTTATTGTTTGGATGGAACACACAATCATTTTAAAGTTGTTAATAGAGAGGTAAGACCAAGGCTCAACTACAAATGAAACAAAAAGTTTGGCTAATATGCAGGTAGTTATGTTATACAGATTTTAGATAATTTGACCAGTCAATTGATCAACTAGCCAACTCTGGTAGCCTATTAATGGCACTAGGAGAAAACAATATAGATTAAACAATTAGTTTCTTAAGCAATAATAAAAATTTATAGTTTTGTTTCCTGGCTTTTTTTTTCTTGATATTAAACATTCAAATTGTTTTTTGTTTTGTTTTAATATTGCAATCTGATATGGTGTAAATTTAACAGAAATATTTAATTCATTATGAACATGTTTACGGCAATGTATCTAATAACTTTGTTAATGTCAGTCTTTTTCAGCACTTTTTGTACAGTTTCTTCAGAATGAATCACAGCTTATACGTCAAGTTAGTCTACCTGCTGAAGAAATGGCAATGGAAGTTACAAATAAAAGTATTACTACAGGTCGTCCTGTGAGTAACTATGTGTCTGTAGTGACCACCAAAAAGGATAATTCTGGAATATCGCAAGCCACAAAAAATGTATCTGTTTTGTCCTCTGGTGACCACTCTAAACACCCTTTAATGAGACCAATGCCTACAAGCCTTCCAACATTAACACCAGTACCAGTAGTTCCAAATCATTCAGAAACTAATACTTTTCTCAGAGAAGTTCTTAAATAGATTATGGTCAACATGATGTAAGAGTAAAGGAAATTGAATACTGATGAAAGTTATGAATTACATTAAGGATAACTGTAGATAATTATATATGACGTTAAAGTCGTATTAGGATCATTCCAAGAGATGTAAGGACAACTGTTCACATGTAAATAAATATTAAAGAATTTTGTATAATTAAAAAGCAATGAATCTGTTTTCATTTTAAAACAGGATTAACAAGTAAATGTACTGATTAACAGTTAAAAATTGTAAGAAAATGATTTAAAAAATGATGTTATTGGCTAAGTGTATTATTTGAATTTTCAAGAACTATAAACTGTTTTTGAACTTAATAAAGTCAAAATGATTATTACAAATAAATAATGAAATTTATGTGTAGGTTTGAAAGATAGTGAAATACAACATAGTACTCTTAATTAAAGATATATCAGAACCAAAATAAATTTGTATAACAAAAGAATTCTACTATCATAATTTTAAGAATGCTATATTTGGAACAGACATTTCTTATAATGAACAAAATAATTAGATCTAAAGGGAATACAAATTTTAAGCAATTGCATAAATATAATGTTTGATTCTGAATTATACAATTTAATGATGAAATTATAATTTTTGTTGTTTAACTCATGGGCCAAGCATGGTCCGGTAGTTAGCAAGCAGAACTGTGGAGCTGAGATTCTGTGGTTTGTGTCCTGTTACTGCCAGAAAAAAAGATAAAAAATGCTGTGCACTTTGGGGCCATAGTTGCATTATGAGAATGCATTATTCAGTCTAATAAGAGTTGTTGGTGGGTGGTGTTGACTAGTTGCCTTATAGGAATGGCTTAAATAGATAGGCCTTGTGTAGCTTTGTTCAAAATCCTACAAAAAAACTTATTCAGATGACATAAAAGTGGTACTAATTCATATAGGTGCCACTATAGAAAACTGTCTGCTGTGAAAGATGACCATATCAACTACATAAACAAATAATAATTCTGTGTACTTGATTTTGAATTGAACAAACAGTTTTAGGTTTTCCTATTCTTAATGGCAGTGCATTGCAATACTTTTTTGCTTCATTTTTTATTTTTCTTTCAGAAATGTCTTTTCTGATATAAACCAAAATTGCAAATTAAGATACTCTGCCATTGGCCAAAGTGTAAAATTTTAGTGATGGAAAATATATCAGACTAGTTAACTATACTTGCCTGTTATCAGGCTCAAACTTTACAAGCTGCCCATGCTTGAAAGTGCAGTTCAATTTTTTATAAATGTTTATTATTATTGAAATTTTAAATTTTCTAGGTCTGGTATGAAACATTAATAATTAACTGGGGTTAGAACAACATGCAGCTGTACAGGATTTCTAAGTTTCAGTGAGAAACTTTAACTAATTTTCAATAAAGAAGCCAATTTAAGAATTAGCTATTAAAATCATAGTATTATTGAGGTTAACTTTCCTTTTTTTAAACATAAATTGTTTATTTTTATATACCAATTTGTTGATAATCCTTCTCTGATGTAATGTGTATTTAAGTACTGTTTCTGGGATATGTTTATGTTGATAGTTAAAGAATATGCAACTAATAAAGTAAAACATCAGTCTGAATTTGTAAACTTGACATTAAAAGTATCATACTGATTATATAAGAATTCATCATCTAGATATGAAAATAATGTATACCTGCAAATTTTTCAATATCAGCCATTGTTGCATTAAACCATCTATCCCTTCATCAGTTTGTTGTCTGAAAGCATTGTCTTATGTAATATAATGAGTTTAATAAACATGAATAATTACACTTTACAGTTATGTGGAATTTCATAGTGTGGAATATCTATGAAGTGAAAATAGAAATGGATTTCATTAATAGGCTTAATCTGGTAACTTGTGTGAAAAGGAAAAAAGGCACATGCAGTGTTGTAGATAACAATCATAAACTTTACTATCTTCTTTTAGACTACAAGTCTAAAGGGAAATAAAAGAAGACTGGAATGTTATGACAAAATAACAGCAAATGAAACCATTTAACTTAATCTCATCAGGTGTAAAAATAAAATATCATGCATCTTGCTTTAGTCACTTGCTAGATGCTTTCAGATCTGATATGGCACTTTGGAAGTCAGATAAGAGACTAACGAAAACTACCAAACCCAGCTAAAAGTGGCATCACTTCTGATAGCTAACTAACTGCATTAACGTACACAGTCAGGTCAATAACCCCACAATGCCAGCTTAAGTGCTTACTAACACCAACTGCTCAATGAGAAGACAGACTGTTTAGATTCAAAACATTTATAAAGGTGACGTATGCCAAACTTGCATTTATAAAGATACAAATTTAATTATTGATTCAAAATTAGAATCCCAGGAAAAGTGCTAAACAAACTGTAAGCTGGAGTCATGGGTAATTGTGATGTTATCTTATCACAACTCCTCAAAACTTTATCTTGGCTCATTCTCAAGGCAAATAAAATTTAGCTCTATACCCAGACCATGGTCTTGTGCTTAGCATGCTGGACTGAGGGTCCACGGTTCATGTCCAGTTGCTGCAAATAAAATAAATCGATAAAATTTAACATTGCACTTAGATGCTGTGGGTGCAGTATAAGAATGACACTCAACACAATTTAGTCAGAGTAACCAAGAGTTAAATGGTGAGTTCTGTTGACTGCCTTCCCTACATTCTATCAGTTCAAAATTAGGGAAGACTAGCACAGAAGTTCATTGTGTAGCTTTTTGCAAATATGTGAAAAGAACTTTAATATGAAATCAGTATGTGTCTTTGCCCATTGTGATTCCAGTTATTCTGATCTAGGTCAATGCAATTCAAAGTAATAAAACCAAAGTGTGAAATATATGTGATATACACAATGTACAGTAATAAACAACTCAAAGAAACAGTTTATAATAGAAACAAATCTAAACAGAACATGCATGATAATGAAAGAAAATACATATGAACAGATATGTTCTCCCAAAGCTATTCCTTGATCACATTTAAAGCAAGAATGGAAGAGTTGTAGTTGATGAGCAACACTCCCTCGTGCTTTTTTGTAGGTCCAGCTGGGATTGTTGTAACTGTTTCTTATTTTGTACATGTTTACCACTGGTTTGGTCAAAGTAAAATAATCTCTGATCAGCACTTCAGACTTATTTCATTTTGGACTTTGGATTGATAAGCCGAAATCTGGTGTGATGAGAATGTGGAGTGGTCAATGCTTCTGTTTTTCTATTGGGACTGATTTTGAGGTTTTACTATTAAAGTCTTAATTGGTGAGGTCCTCCAGCTGCATCTCGGCTGGGGCTAGGCGTGCCATGGTGGTTAGTACGTTAGGCTGTAAACCAAAAGGTCTATGATTCAAGTTGTGATCCCACTGAACATACTACATGCTTTCAGCTCCATGTGTTTTAAAAGTGACAGTCAATCCTACTGTTCTTTTCAAAGAAACAGACAAAGCCCTTGTCGTAGTAGATGCTACTAGCTGTTTTCTTTCCTTCTGGTCAGATGGGGTCTCTGACTTGATCATTTAACACATAAATGCAAAAAATACTACTCAGGTTCAACGTTCCCATTTCACTCTGGCTATATGTCCTCCACTATAAGCATAGGTTTTGTAGTTAATTGAAAATTAAAGTGATAAAGTGTGCAAATATTTGACCTTTAATTCAGCAGTGCATGAACTATCAGTTCTGGCTTGAGTAATTTGTTATTGTTTAAAAGTCCAAATTTCAGCATAGGATAAAACCATAGGATTACTAATTGAAGAATAAAATATGATAATATAAATTATACATGGTCAACCTATTGTGAAGCAGCATCTTCCTCTGTTCATAAACTAAATGACCATACCAGACATGGAAAAGAGTGGAAACACAATAATTGTCTCATGTAAGCCAATAGTCATAATAATCTTCTTGTAGAGCTTTGAAGATAAATGAAAAACTGTATCTCCAACCATGGAAGCCAACTTCAGAGTCTAGTTACTAAGGGCAAAGTGCTAGTTTTCTGGAATTAAGCCTGCAGACTACAGTTATTGTGCTAACTTTCTCGAAATGTTGGTGATTACTGAAGTCAAAGGAATATTTTAAGTAAGTGAATATTTTCTCCCCAACTCATGCTGTGAGTTAAAATATGACATTTTGCATAGCTTTCAATTTTTAAGTGCAACCTTTTGGCTTAGTTGCTAAAAACTAAAAAGAATCTGAAAGTGATCACTACATGTAGTCCAACTATAGAAGGTTCTGGACAGGAGCAAGTAGCTTATAGTTAAAAGTATATAAAATTCCAAACATTTTGTAAGTGAACTTTTCTTACTTAAACACCTAATGTTGTGCAAACCAGTTTTAAAAGACTACAAACTAAAGATAAACTATTTAAGGATAGTTAGTATTTAGAAACATTAGGTGATTCATGACATATTACCTTATCACGCAGTGTCACACAAATTGTTTGAAATACAAATGTATGTATATTAGCTGGAGTACCTATTCCCCTGGATGGAAGTTATGTAAATTCATGATTAATGAAAGGTTATCTTGGGACATGAAAAGTTGCTTCCCTTATATGCAAGTGTAAAAAACGTGGATAAAAACTGCAAAACTGAAACCACAAGTTTGCACATGGACCCAACAAACCTTCATGCCAGATTTAGTGAAGATCCATCTACAGGGGGCAAAGTAGTGTTAAAAAATGCCCATAAAACCACAAAAATGCAAAACTGAAAATTTGTATGTACCCCGCATGAACCTAATGAACTTCCATACCAATTGTGGTGAAGATCCATCCATGCGAAGTAGTTACATGGACATACAACAGACAGTACTATTATATTTATATACATACACTGTGATTCAAAAGCCCATTGACAAGGAATTAGTTAAAAATGGAGAGGAATATGAATTTGTAGTTATAAGTTCATTCAAGGTCTTGTCCTTTGGAAATTTCATTAGTAGGCATCATATGCCCAAAATGTTAATGGAAAAGGTGTTAATAATAACAAATGAAATATAAAATTATCAGAATCTCTCCTCACGAACAATAGTTACTGGCATAATGAGTTGTGCTACAGAACATAGAAATCTGACCATAGCCACAAACCTAGGTTTGAAACACAAAGGTCAGAATTTTACAAAAGCAGGTCATTGTAACTGTGAGAGATCCAAAACATTTAAAAGTATTAAAATCCCCACATAAGGTAACACACAAGCATTGTGCTGTAGCTGCTGCAGTATTCAGTTAAAGAACAGTTTAACATGTCTCTCCTGTATGGGGAGTGTCAAAAGAATGCCCAGGCTACTGTCAGATTGTATGCCTAACAGTTTCCAAATAAACATCATTCTAATTTAGATATAGGTGCAATGCAAGCGTACCAAAGACAGCAATCAGTATTAACAATGGAGGCACCATACTGGTATTTGTCACATTTCAGCAGCACCTTGAACATAACTATTGATTGTTTGCCACCATTTTGTAAAACTGTTAGGATGTTTACCTCATCTGCAATTATGCCTCTTATAGGGAAGGCAGCTAGTCACTAGCATACCTGGGCATTAAATATATACATATTTGTACAGTAAAATCAGCATCACAATACAATTTTTTTTCCTAGTTTTGCAAAAGGTAAAAGTCATAATATATAAACGGTCATCAGGTTTAGGATCAAACAAATTCCAGCACTTATAGTGCATAACTGTAAATCCAAGAAGTGTTCGTGGTTAACTTCCTATTGCTGCAAATAATAATAAAACTGGCAGAATGTTTGTTTATAATGCTATACAGTACAGCTCCTGTTGAAAGCTGTCATACACCAGTTGTACTTCATTCATGACCTTTGGTTTGCTAAAGTGTCTTTCTTCATGGACAGGCTCTCTAATCTGTGACCAAATATCAAATTCTATCTCCTTTGTGAGTGCTTGCTAGCAAAGCAGATTCTGTTGGTGACTTTAGTCCAATATGACACATCACACCTGGTTCTCAGTTTTGCAGCAGGTCACCTCCCTTCATGGAGAAGCACCCCACTTTGTGACAGATTTTCAACCTCATCTACTAGTAAAATAACTCCTGTAGGTAGCTGTTGTTGAACAACAGCACCTCATGTCTGTTTTTGATCTGGTCCAGTTCATTTTTTGAGAGTGCACACTGTTTCACCTCCAAGCAAAATATGTCGTGTTAGTAGAGTTCATCTAACAATGGCACTTTTCCTCTCTCTCCCATCTTCCCACTGTAAATGCCAGAGACAGTGTCTGAATTTGGCTGGTGAATACCTATGAGTCTTATAGAAGCCACCCCACTTAGGCTTGGACACATTAGACCATTCACCTTCCTGGTGATTCTCAATTGTTTGGGACCTATTTATGTCAAGGATTACCCTCAGGGTTTACAACTTACTTGGCCTGAGTATTCAGGTGGCATTTGCTCCTTGTCTTCGGCTCATGCCTGCAGAATGATGGCAGTTACGGATGTTAACAGCATTTGCAAAAACCCAGGATCCAGGAGATGACTTCCCCAGACCTAGTTACCCTTCTTTGGCCATGCTTCCACAGCACCTCTCTTCCTCCAGATCATAAATCCTTCATCATGTAGAAAATTCCATTTCCTTATAATTGACGACATGTAAGAATTAACCACATTTATTTTATTAGCATACCTAGCTCTTGAAGACCCACTCAGATACAGATGTAGTGGGAGAAGTATTATCACAAGTACAATAAGGAAAAGACGTGTAATTGCCTACTACAGTGAAGTGATTAATGCTGCAGAATTAAAGTATTGTACAACTCTCAAAGAGCT